GTTTTCCTTTATTTGATTTGGAGAGGAGACTCCAAGCTTAATTAGTTGTAAATTTTGATTTATGAAAATTTAAAACGTATTTTACGTTAATTTGCACTAAGCTCTGATGGAATTTACTTAGTTTTCATCAGTATACTCTCAAATGCACTTACAAAGCATGTGGTCGCTTTCACTGTTCATACCTATCTTTTTTGGCTCCGCAATTGGGCATCCATATATACTTATACAAATCGAATGATAGAAAACATTTTGTCGCTAGACGCCATTTAGAACTCGAATTATACATTCTCTCTAATCTTCGCTATTACAAGTGATCTGATCTCGTTTTAGCAACTTAGTTGTGTTGTCAGGGCGGCCTGGTTGAACGCACCTTGTCAGAAGTATTCTTCTATAGTAGATCTAATTCTCACCGTTGGACTGTCGATTTAATACATTTTTTCGTGGTCACTTAAATATTCCATTTTATTTTGATTGGCCACTTCACACTAGGGTGGGCATATCGACTTTTATGAGTCTTTCTCTACCCTTATTTTTCTTCTTTAATCCCCTTCCTGTCATCGACTTTTCACGGTCCATATGTTTCTTTCTATTATTTTGCTCGGACATTCGTCGCCGAAGAACAAGCGAGTCATTTTGTCCAATTCGTCATTCCAGAATGTCATGTCCGTTAATCGTGGGCTTCTGATTTTCATGCTCATTATATCTTCAGTCTCTAGTTGTGATGAAACTGGAAATTGACTCCTTCTTGACAATCTCCTCTTTAATTCGAATCCATTCTAGCGAATGAATTAAAAATCCAGGATAACAGCTCTTCTATTTCATTGCGAATTTGACTCTTCTTTACGACATCGTTATGCAATGCATCAATATCTCCAGAAAGTTCCATGATGAGACATAACTGGAAATAGAGATCAAAATACCCCCAAGAATCTTAAAACGTCATTAATCAACAAAGAGGAACAGATTATCCTGGTTACGTAGGACTCTTCAAACAAGATAGAGGAAATAATCACATCGATAATGGAAGTAGAGCAAGAGGAGCGTTACATTTCATAGTTATTTAAGTCATTCACCAAAATGGGTTAATCAGAAAGATTTCCGAAAAAAAGTTATACTGGAATGATACCCAATTTTCAGTCTCACAACTACAGGCTAAGGATAGGAATAATGAGGAGCATGTTCATCAGAAGCCTACGATTAACGGACGTGAGCAACAGTTACCCAGGCAAAGTAATATCATGAAGCATAAGGGCCCTGAAAAGCCGATAGCAGGACGGGGATTAGGAAAGAAAAATAAGGATAGATAAGGACTCACAAAAGTGAATATGCCTACGTTTATGCTAACTCAAAACTTACTGCTAATATTAAGAAAATGGAATATTTAGGTTACAATGAAGGGTAGGCAACACTCATATGTTTACCCACACTGCATGTGAGGGTAGACAGGTTGGATTGCTTGGGAGTTGATTGTAAACCTCAACTAAAAATCCGATTTAAAATAAGCTTGGCTTGCTTTTAAAATCACTTGTGCTGTGACCCGCTTGCGCCCATCTCTTTATTTTAGTATTGTAACCTTTCGCCGCATGCATGACACGGTTTCGAATCCCGTTATGAATATTGGCGAGGACTATGAAAAAAACTTTTGGGACATTTTGGGAAATTTATTAGCATAGCGAAGCCTACTTATATTGTTAAAAATCCACTATCAGTACTTATGCCATTTTATGCGATTTAGGGTCACCAAGTTCTTCTTACCACATTATTCACATCAAAGGCCGCTTAAAATAATATAAGGACTGATTAGGGATGATGCCATTTAAGATCACTTAGCATTGCCTCCCATAAGGGCTTATCATCCGGGAGGGAGTTAAGTTTCGACCTCGTCTGGATAGGATCATTTTTTTCTGCTTATTAGAACGCTTTTTTCTATTTTTGGGTCTGGCATCTTTATATCCATATGCAGTTTGCTTCGAAATCTTAATTCCTGTATCCTATTAAATTGTCTCGACTTATTTAATCCACTTGTACTTGAAAAACTATCATCAGCATGTATTACGCTCTACTGTAGAAGGCGATAAAGAAGCAAACAATCCTACCAAAATCCTACCGGCCTAAGTCGCATTCGTCGACTTTACTTGCCTCCTCGATCCCTTCTTTAGGAACAGCTCTCCAGCAAATCGACAAAAAAGTAATTTCTGTATATTTTCCTTTATTTGATTTGGAGAGGAGACTCCAAGCTTAATTAGTTGTAAATTTTGATTTATGAAAATTGCAAAACGTATTCTACGTTACTTTGTACTAAGTTTTGATGGAATTTACTTAGTTTTTATCAGTATACTCTCAAATGCAGACTGCTATTAGATCTATCCTATATTAGATCGATATATATCATTATACTAGATTGGCACATATCTTGCATAGAAGGTTGCGGTCTATGCTGACTAAAATAATAGAAAAAATATTCTCTCTTCATTCGGGAGATGAGATCAAAAATAATTAGGCTGATACTATGAAAATATTTTTAAAAATTTGGGAAGTTGTGCAATATTCTTTCCTACTTAGATTTGGATATGCATTTGCTATCAAAAGTTTGATATTAACCTTTCGCCAACTTGAAATTATTTAGATTTTCATACAATAAATCTTTTTCACAAGCTTCCCGTAACAAGGGTTGTGAACTCTGCCCCTCAAGCTAGCCTCTTGGATCCGACTGAATTATCCTCTTCTAGCGACAAAGAAGATTTTGTTCCATTGTCTCAACTGCTTCGACAGCAGACTGGCTGTGCATGCCCATCGATAACTTCGATCTCCTTATCCACATCAGCATCCGCCTCCCTATCGTCACCTGCATCCGCAGCACAAATCGCCGATTTGCATCCTTCCTCTTCTAATGCTCACAAGGAGACCATATCCTCCAATAAGACTTCTTTGCAAGTTACCTACCCTGAGATGACGCTGGAAACCACATCGATGGAGCCAGCTGTACTGTCTCAAAGTAGTGTGACGAAGTTTAAGCCAGCTGATGCCGGTAACAATGTTCGCAAAGTAGTTATTTCTGTGTGTCATGCTCCGATGACTCAATCTTTACAACTCACTCGAAAATCCAACTCGCTACCTACTAAATCGCGAGTTCACGATAATACTGTTACTGACCAGGATGCGGTCCATATAGTTAAACCATCCAATAGGAGGACTTCATCTCCTTTGAATTCCCGTCCTAGTCCACCTACTCTTACTACGAGGTCTTCTCATTCTCCTGCTGCTCCAGCTAAAGCTATAATTCTTCGGCCATCACAGGATTTACTATCTTGTCTACAAGCGAATCCTCCAATCCGATCCCGGAATTTATCCTCACTTACTTATGGCTCTTCCAGACGGCGTCCAATATCATCTGATTCATCCTCTTCATCTTCTTCACCTTCCTCTTCTACTGCCACTGAGAGTGAACCTGAAGTAGAGACTATACAGTCGAAGGTGAGCCTTTGCTCATTTATATATGAATGTAAAACAAATGCCCCTTTGAAAAAAAGCAAATTGTTTATTAATGCTTATGAGAGTAAGCTTGATGTTTTATTGAACTTGATTTGCTTTCCATGATTATCATTATGGATTGTTTTGAAGCTAATTGTTTTACGTTTTATTACATTTCGCTTCATTTTTTTCATTCACTACTAAACATATACTACGTAGGTCTCTGCAGATTTAAGCGAATCATACTTGAGTTCTATGGTGTCAATTTTGTAGGAATCATTTATCTTTGGCATTAGTCAGACACTGGATTTTGTAAAACCATAGAAGCGAAATGTCTATTTTATGCTTACAGCTTTTTTTCGGGAAACATTTGAAATGTTTACTTGAGTCCTATTCTGCTATAGAGTTGAAACAATTCGTTCATTACTAATTAATAGCTAAAATCTTCTATTTCCCAAAAAATCTTGCGTTTTACTTTCTGAAGACTGGTGTGGCCCTGGGTTTGGTCGCAATCTTCCTTAGCTGTACATTATTGGTAGCCTCGTTTTCGCAACTTGGTCGGAGCCACAGGTGGACCTTGTAGGGCATACTTTGTCATAGTATACATGATGGTTTACAGCATCGGGCAGTTTACTCGGTACATTTCCGGACGTTCCGCCGGCATCGTCAGCGAGAGCACAGGGCTACAACTTATAAGTGGTGCCTTACTCTGACGATACCGGCGAAGCGTCTTGGAATATACTGAGTAAACGGTCCGACACTGGAAATCTTCGTGAATACTATAGCAAAGGATGTAGAATTAGATACGCTTCACAAGGTCCCAGTGTCGCTCCGACCAAGTTGTCAAAACAAAGTCAAATGGATACTTTCGGGCATTAGGCTTCGGCATTGCTTGATTAAGCTTTGATAATCTGGTAATGCCTTGGGCACCAAAAGGCCGCAGGCCCCCAGCGATAGTACTGAAGTCCTAACGCAGCAGCGTAATCTTTTCTTCATTTTATTTCAATATGTGCCGCTTTTGTCTTTACTGGTAGTTTCCTCTTCCTGTCCATAAACATTTATTTCTTATCACGGTCTCATTATTTGTCGCATTACTTCACTTAGTATGACAATTATATCCTATTTAGTTCATATTATTACTCTTTTTATATAGATGCTGTGTGCAAATCAAAACTGTGAGCATCAGGCCCTGTCAAACGATCCCCGCTGGGACGGCCAGTTCTGCTCTGTGGATTGTCTTATCCACTTCTGTCAACTTGCTCACGCTTCCCGGATTACACCGGTAGCCAATTTGTCTAGCACAGGTACCAACGCCCCTACCACCTTCCGTTATACTAGTAATTCACAAAAGACGCCAAGTGAACTGTTACCTCAATTTATCGCTTCTCCTTTAGCAGCACTTAGAACCCGTCCTAATTCGAATTTATCGCCTAGGCAACCCAGCCCATCTTTCGACTGCCCCAAGGATCCACGCGCTTGTAATCTATGGCCACCAACTGACACGTTTGATCAAAGAGCAGATGAGCAGTACACGCATTCTGCCCGGTTTACTGCAAATTCTCCTACCTCACTTTCAATCTCTCTCGCTCCTATCATCTCTACCACCTCTCAATCATCCTATCCCGGCATCTCTGCTCAAAACTCTATGTCCTCTGTTTTGCCACCCTCTGCATCAAGCGAAAGCACTCATCTTTCTCAACCTCCACTAATGACTCCGACCCTCTCATCTAAACTTAGCGACGCTTCGACGCTTCCCATCTCATCTTCCTCCCTATTATCGTTCCCTCTGCAAGCGACACATCAACGGGCCACCCTAATCACGTCATCTAGTCCGCAAGCCCAGGCCTGTCTGAACTCTGGGCTTGTTGATGGAAGGCGAATACCAATAGTGCAGCTCATCCCTGCAACTAAGTTTCTGCTTTGTCAATCGGCTATTCCAAGTAGCCACCATGCAGGACCAAAAAACGGAGAGCAAGAACCGGGAAACCCGATGCGCCTCGACCTGGATCCACCGACCTCTTGATAACTTTCTCCAAGATCCTTACAATCTGAAAATTTGCCACTATGTATGTTTCTGTGGATCTCCTTTTCACGCCTCTTGAATCAGACAACTCAGCTCTTGGCTTACTATGGATCTTTATAAGGCTTATCATGATTTTTGCCCACTCTCTCGGGAACAAGCCCCTTATGTTTAGAGTTTCTATTCTTGGTCTTAGGCTGTGAATCAAAGCTTTCATGTTCCGTTTTCTCAGCTAGCCGGGTGCTCTTCCGAAATGCCTGTCTCGTCTGATCATGTTTTGGTCGCACTAAATGAAAGGTATGTTTACTGACATTTACTTTAATTCTTTACTTTTTCACTAGCTTGCTTTTGCAGAGGAGCAAATATGCGTACTAAAACCCAATAATTTCTTTGCTCTTTCTGTTACTAGCTAGCAAAAGCGACACTGGAAAAATTGTGTGAAGCTGAGTATAACATTATTTGTGTACCGCCCTGCTTTCATGATATTGCACTATTACTTGTAAATAACACCAGAAAAATCGGACCTCGTCGGATAACTGTTTTTGAATCTTCAGTGAGGAATTGCTCCATTCCGTTTCGCAGTTGAATCTTTGCTATTGTACAGCTCCACTTATACATTTGATCCCACTCTAGCAGATCCGTGGCCTTGTGATACCTTTAACCAACTGAAAATAATAGGTATGGATCGATTGGACTAGTTTCGCAAGCCGACTGCTGCAGGTTTTGATTTAGATAAAAAATATAATTTCATTAATGTTATTGTAGGCTGGGACCAGAACCTATCCATTCATATTATCGACATAAATCGAATAGGTAAATTTTTAAAGTAATTTCAACCAGAATTCAATATAACTTGCACTTGCGTTTGACCTAGCAGCTAGTTATCAATATAGCTCATATAACAGATGCTGCA